GATGTTTTCCTTCACAGTAAGAACGTCGGATAAATGTACATATGTAAATCGGAAATCGAAAAACACATTGGTACATGGCGGGATTCGAACCCAGGTCCTGCAGATTGCAAGTCAAGTGCTTGACCACTGAGCCACCGACGCTCTATGTTTATATTTTTATTAAAACATATTAAAGTATCTATTATTTCAAAGCAAATGTAAAAAAAAATGTTTTTGTTCAACGATTTTTTTCTCAAATCCATCACCTAACTGCTCCACAATCACTAGATTGTTTCCTAGAAAGCAAATGAAACGAAATATAATTCTATTTTCAATGTACGTACTTCTGTATCTCTTCATATGTACTTTATCAAAGTACACACCCACATAGCCTTTTACTCTGTTCTTGAAAGATTTACAACGCACATAACAATAAAACTTTCAAACAGTTGAAGATCAAACGTCTTCTTGTTGAAGTGCAAGTTGTTGAAAGATGTAAACGATACTTAACTGAGGTAATTTTAATTGTTGCGTGGGATACGTTTAGTCTTGGTAAATGCGTAATAATTGCTATTATGTACAACCAGGCGCAACTGGAAATAGTGGGTGTAGCATGAATATTTGCGCGCGCTTTTGAATCATCATCGCCATTTATGTCAAAATTAGGATGATATTTTTCGTGTACTTTTCACGCTGCACCAATTTTAATATGTCGTTGGCGATACGATGGTGCTTGCCCTAGGTGTTGTTAAGGGGACCTATTTTGTTTGAGTTACAAAAAACACAGCTACAGTTTTTACTAGTTGTTGAGAATACGCTGACGGATTGATGTATGAACGTGATTTAAATTGTATGCATTCTGAACTTTTTTAAAAATGTGTAAAGTTGTTAGGTAGAAAATCCGACACTGTGCCGGTGTACTGGCGCAACAGAAGCCTTACTAAAATGTCGACGTTTATGTCGCCTCACTAATCAATCTGACACGACTTGGTGATGAAAGCGCGCCATTCGCGCCAAAGGATTCTAATTAATAATGTCTGAAAATACATACATAAAATATAAAACTGTTTGTCATCTTTGAAATAATTGTAACAATATGTTTTTGGACAGGTTTAGATATTAAAAATTTCATGTAGACCTTTTTCTCTTTCAATTAACTTCATTCCAAATATGAAATCCCTGCTTTGTTACACCAAGAGCTGCGTTTCAGTCTGTTTATAGATTTTTAAATAAATTTTAATGTAACCACATCCTAATGGGAGTACGTAAACATTTCGTCATATCTGCTGATCTACTGTTTACACGAGGTTATCTCCGGTGATGTCATAACCTAAATCTTGCAACAGCGTATTAATAGCTACACTAGTGTGTAATCACCTTAACTTTCCAATAACATAGTTTGTTACAACTCGAGAACTAAAGCTTGTAAAGAAACCAAATTAGGCGATTGTTATTTTGTATCATAATTTTAAGTTATGTATGGAAAGTATGGATGGATTGTGTGAGGATATGTGTAAGGTATGAATTTAGATATGACTGTTGATAGAGATGTATGGATAAAATAATAAATTATTTTACACTGGGGGAGTACATTTTATGTTAGTAATATTATGAATGCAAAAGTTAAGATGGATGGATGGATGTTTCTGTTGGTATCTTCGGCTAAACGGATCTCGCTGTAATTTGGCATATATATGTGGAACAAAGTCTGGAAGTACACATAGGGTACTAATTAAGTTTTTTTCAAAATTCCTAGATGGAGTCGCGGGATACAGCTAGTTATTATTAAAATGGATGGATTGATATTAAAATGAAAGAGTAAATAATACAATAATTTATATTTACTAAAGTAATTGATATAACAGATTTTATTTGTTCAATATGTTTGCTATAATTTAACTTAATATATAATAGGTTTATGTTTTACGATAAATTGTTTTATTCTTATATACAGCTATAATATGGATATATTTTATGTGTTATTTACAGAATTCTTTATATAATAAAATGATGATTACAAATAAATTAACAGATAGTACAAAGTAGTTTAAACAATACGTTTTAAGGAAAAATTTACGAAATTTTAAAAATGGAACTAAGGTCGATATTCTATTTCATAACATGAAGATTAACAAAATAATCTTTGTATTTTCTTTTATAATATAATAATACGTTCAAAAAAATATATACGAAAGTAAGAAGGCAAAAAAAAACAATGATATAATTATTTCTGAGTGCTCCGCAGTTTTGCACAAACGAGTGTTTTGAGTCTTACTAAAATACGTATACATTAAGGTAAGGAAAATCATTATAAAATACTTTAAATCTGCAGAGTTTCGATGACATTTATATATAAAATATATTTATATAATAAATAAAATTAAATTTATACATACTTAATTAATATTACTTCCGTGAATTTCTTATTTTACACTTTTATAAAAACATATTTCTATCCCTTTCATTCACTGACAAAATAGTACATCATCATCTCCCTGTCCTTATCCCTCATGTAAGGTAGGTGCACCAAGTATCGTCCTCCATACCGATCTATATGATAAATCATACCTAATATGTTTTTATACATTTTTATGGAAACTTACAGATCTAGTCTACCTTAAGACTAGCGGTTGATAGTAATATTCTATTTCAAAATATTTATGCTTATCTGTGATATTTTTAATTCAATAATAACAATTAAAAAAAACATAACTTTTAAATAATTTTTCTTCATTTTATATAAAAACAATTAAATTTTTTTTTATGTTGTAATGAAAATGTTAATATCAAGGAAATGTACAACAAAAGGCCTGCAGCTGCTTTATTTTTCATTACTTTTGTTATCTAGATTAGTTACCTACTTATACATCTATGTGCAAACATTTATCTAAAGTACAGTTTCATTGGTACAAGTTCTTGGACCGTTAACTAGAGAATATCTACTTGAAGCACCATTTCTACTCGAAACAACACTCCTAATAAATAACTCCTTGAAAGTTTCACGGAACTGCCTCGACATACCACAATATATAGCAAAATTTATCGGATAAGATGCCATTATAAAGAAATTCGTTATTAATATAAGAATATTAGCGATACGATAATCTAGAAATTCAACAATCGTACTTGATATTATATGTAAAATTGTTACAACAGCTAATGGTATTTCCACTACTAAGAAAACTGTTACAACTACAATTAACATAAGAGTAGTGCAGTTTGAATCTCGCAATTTTTTACATTCATTCTTAGGGTTCTCTTTGAATAGTCTACGTCGATTCATTTGCGCTTGTCTCATAGCTTTGAATAGTAGTACATTTAACACTACCAATGATGTACAAGGGACTAAATGAACGAATATAACTCTGAATCCAAAGTATGTACTGAAGTAAGCGTCCAATGAGACTTTGTTCACCCATGGAGAGAATTCAACCTGTGAACAAAAATAATATTTTTAGTACTCATTTTACAAGCAGTTGTAGATCAAGTAATGCTGTCCCTTTCTGACTCTTTGAATAATTGAGATAATACGATTAAATACAAGTATTACAACTCGACGCGAAACGCCACTTCCCTGACACTTATCTTTCAGTGGCCAGTATCTGTTTATTTCACCCTAATCATCTAAATATTGCCTTCTTGACGTCAATATGGCGTATGTAACATATGTTCGTTATTTTTAAGTTCTAAAGAAACTACAATTTTTTTTACATCGAGGTACAAAATAGTATTTTTAAGGTTCATTTATTTTGTTTTTTTATACAATTTAATTCGCTAGGGTACAAGCGCCATTTTGTGGCTGGCGATTTAAAAACATATCCTTCTTAAAATCTGAGGTCGTAGTATTAATTTCGATTTAATTTTATCATTTAGTTATTGTTAGTCGGTGCAATTAAAATGCGACGTACAATATCTTAGCAGTTGGGTTTAAAACTGATGCTGACGATTTAGAATAGTCTTTGGATAATAAGGTAAGGTAAAATGAAGGTACTCATTTAATTTACAGTTATTTATTAGAGAAATAATATATCTAAGTATCTAATTCGCCATGGTTTATATAACAATTCTAGGCTAATCAAGAATATAAATAATGTAAGATAGAAGCGCTTTAATCGATCTTTATATTCCTGGTTCGATTTTATCTTATTTTAACTTTTTAATACAATAAATATCTATGCAAAAGATGTCATAAGAAAGCTTATAAATATTCTAGAATCTCTCATATTATAGAAAACAAAAATTACTTTTTTTTTTCTATATAATATATTTAAGTGTACAAAATTTACATTTGTCACAAATATGTACAAGTATGTTTAAAAAAAAATTACAGAAATAATTTATATTAAAAAACAATGACTGTAATAAAAAATCGGTACTTTTTTTTAAATGAGGGCTCATCATTTAAAGGCTAAGTGATCAGTCAATCATAGATAATAGAAACAACTAATTTTTTTTTTAATTTTTTTATCCAAAATTAATGATTTCGTGACCACAAAGCCGAAAAAGTACCGACTGATTAATTAATGATTAAAATACTTCGTTTTTTTTTACAATTAAAAATTCTAGTACATAAAAAGCTTTATATATTGTTATGCATATATTATATACAGTTGTTATAACAAGCAGGTTCCAGTATCGCGGTTAGATTTATCAGAACGTAGCAACTTACATTAAAGACAAGATGGCTAATTTAGTACCACTTTTGCCCACCAGGGCAAACTTTGTCGCACTATAGTCGTTCGTAATATTTCTTTAATATTACCGTGGTTTTCTGATATCAAAATCTCTGTATAAAACATATCTTCATCCCAGACATTTGAAAAAAACGGAGATAACAAAGTGTTTTAAATGAAGATTTTGGTCTCAGAAACTTACTTTAAATCCACTAATTCGTGTTATTCTTTATTTGTATACATAATCATAATTATTAAAGTAGAAATGATCAAAAAGTAATAGAATATTATTAAAACATCTAAAGAAACAAATTAAATATATATGTTTAAAAAAAATGATATGTCCACTACAATACACATTAACTCTAAAATATTATAATCGTGTGTTTCCATTATTATGTAACAAAAACATATCAGATAATAGATATGTTAGTGTCACCAGTGTAAACCCACGCTAAGAAATGTCAATTAAAGTACAGTCTCGTTAGTACAAGTTCGAGGTCCGTTAACCAAAGAATATCTACTTGAACCACCATTTCTACTAGTTACCGCACCTCTAATAAAAAGCTCTTTAAAAGTTTCACGAAATTGTCTTGACATACCACAATAAATAGCAAAATTAATAGGATAAGAGACGATGATAAAGAAATTAGTTATTAAAATTAATATATTAGCAATATGATAGTCCAAGAAATCAACAATTGTACTCGATATAATATGCAATATAGTAACAACAGCTACTGGAATTTCTACCAAGAGAAAAACAGTAACAACAACGATTAACATCAACGTTGTACAGTTTGAGTCACGCAATCTTTTACATTCAGATTTTCTATTCTCTTTAAATAATTTCTGTCTATTTATCTGTGCGGCTTTCATTGCTCTAAATAATAAAACATTCAGCACAACTAGTGATGTACAAGGTATTAAATGTACGAATAATACACGGAATCCGAAATACGTTATAAAATAACCGTCCAACGATAACGCGTGTACCCACGGCGCCATCTCTATCTGAAAAGTGAAAACAATTTTTTTAGTATAATATTAATAAAGCACACAATGAGTTTAGTACACACAGTTTTGCTTGCAAACACATGATTTTGTGTAAAAGCATACAATTTTTTATATCATAAGGTGGCAAACGAGCGAGCGGCCACCTGAAGTCGCTGATATAGCGATGTGACTGATGCCCATAGATATACGCAATTGCATATGCGTTGCCTACCTTTAATCGATGGAGGAGAGAATGCACGGAAAGAAAATATTTTACCTTATTGCTTATAATATAAGTATAAATATATGGTTTAATTTATAGCAATGATAAATATTAAAGCCATCATTATCTTTGTATAAAATAGCACGAAAATGTAAAGTAACAGTGGTAGAGCCCGCTTTAATATCTTCCCACGAATTGGCCCGGCTCGCCCGGTGTAATACCACGAAAACACAGAAGACAGGAAGCAATTCCGCGTTTCGTCTGATGAGTGTGCGTCCCGGAGGCCTAATTTAGTTCTCTTTCCATTCCCACCCTTTTTCTTATAAGGAAAAGATGGGAAGTGGAAGTGGACTTTCCGGATGAGAGGATGCTTGGGAAGGGAAAATATTTTCTTTCTGTCCATCCTCTCTTCCGTCGATTAAAGGTAGGCAACGCATATGCAATTGCGTATATCTATGGGCAACAGTCACTTCAGCGCTATTTCAGCGCTTTCAGGTGGTCGCTCGCTCGTTTACCAACTTATGATATAAAAAAAAGCAATGATAAATATTAAGGCCATCATTATCTTTGTATACAAGCACAAAAATGTACGAGAAAGTTTATTTATGTAACAACATCGATAAATGTATAAGATTTGTACAGCGCCCCTGTCGGGCATAAAGTACATCAAATTTCATACGAATTTTGACATGTTTTGTCGATTATATAAATATTCGTGATAGACCCTCAGGAAAATGTGTCAGGGTTGTACAAATTTTATAAACATGGATGTGTTTTTTTAACTGGTAGGAAAACATTGTACAACCTTAAATCATATTCTATTACGGATTTTCTTAATAAAACAACTTAACATGGACACATTAATTACAACCAATTTTAATATATAGTAATTTTATATAAGCAATTTAATATACTAGTTATTGTCTGTGAATCTGAATTGACGGATAAAAACATATAATAGCACACCCCTTATTCCTGTCTGGGTTCTACTCGTACATTTAACTAAATTTCATTTGCTGCCGTTCTGGAGTGCCGTTCGACAAACATTCAAACTTTCGCATTTATAATATTAGTAAGATATAATAAATATTTATGTATATATTTTAGTGCATAACAGTAAAGCGAAAGCTATATGTTCTTATATGTTATATATAATTTAAGCGAAAACATTTAGGTGGCACATATAATTTGTTAATTCACTTTGAAAATTATAATAATTTGACTTACGTTTATATGTTTTTGTTCAATTAAAACACTGTCAATATCGTCACTAATGATTTTAGATTTTTTTCACATATTTTAATTCGAAAATCTCGGTGTTTTTTAAATGCAATATATGTAATTTAATTTATATAATTATTGATATAGGAAAACCTACTATAATTATACGGTAAGAATGACGACTATCTTGAGGGTAATATTTATTGCGGATATGTATGTCTGATTGTTACGTCGTGTATCCTAAACGGATTTTGATAAGTTTGATTCGTATCCATCGTAGTGGCTTTTTGTAACACGATAATACCAACGCACTCGCCTAGCGAGTTAGCCCCTTCGAACACATTGCAACGTAAATTTTCGAAAGTAATATATCTTTGCGTCGCGAGTACACACATTGTGGAATCATCGACGTGAGTCGTCTATTCTGTCAGTACAGGCATGGCAATTGTATAGATTAGCTCTACCTTTAAAAGCCGCATTGACTTTTCTCATGACCACGTTGACATACAGGGTGCGAGTGACTGTTTTGGGCAACCCATTCTGTGTAAGAACCAATAAGTAATTTTATTGTGTAAGCTGAACGATTAAAATCGCCTGGTTTCGAAAATTTACGTTGCCTTGTATAGGGCCTTACACCTTTACATCAAAAAGTTAAAGTATATTTATTAGTAATTTTGGTACATATCATGTACCAACTTTTCAAACGTCACTTGACAAAAATAAACTTTTTTATATGAACAAATAGTGGTATCATACCCTGCAGACTTCCTCGAAGTGGCCACGCCATACTGTGATGTGCGGGACGTATTGACGGTCTAGGAAGCGAGGAAGTTGATGTAAGAAGGCCGCTATACCGATGTAGATCAGACACTTCATCACCCGTGGCATTGTGCACCTGAGGAAGAAATATTTATTAGTACAAGGGTAAAGAAATCATTCAATCTGTACATATATGAGTAGAAATTTAAATATGTAAAGTTAATTCGCACTGGACCAAGGTGGTCGAGTAAGGTCTCGTTAACCCTAATTTAGGGTAGGCTCGAGGTTCACAAAGAACACGGAATTCCATTTAACTGTCATTAATTATCAGAGATGTGCAGAAAAGGCATTTCTCTATCATAGCCTAACTCACTATAATTCAACTTAATTAAATGTATAAGAAAACCGATAAAGGAAGGAAGGAATAAATCGGTAGATAATTTGTTTGAAAGTCGTTATTCTGAAATTGTTTCGTTTGACACTTTCGTATAGAAAATACAATAGAAACTTTTCTCATATCCCTCGTAAGAATAGATCGTTACGTGAAAGTAAAAATGTCAACCCACACTTGAAAGACACGTGTTATATTTCAGAGTGGACCTCTTTTATGTTTTGAAAGTACATCTTATGTACAAAGAATCTTATGAAAGCGTCAATAGCCTAATGGTTAAGGATACGGATTTCTGATCACGAGGTCGGGGGTTTGAATCCCGCCATTCGACTATTGTCGTAAACCATATCCTAGCACAAGCCTAGAGCTTATTTGGAAGGGTAAAAGAAATATTAGTAAATTTCCAAAAAAAATCTGCTAATATTTTATAAAAAAAAAAAAAATTATCGTATCACAATGTTAGTTACCATATTCTTCCTAAACGGCTTGACAGATTTTTATGAAATTTTATATGCACCTTTAGTAGCTTTGAGAAGCTACTAATTATTTGATGACACAAACATCGATTGAGTACGATTGGAATCGATTCTTTCTTAAGAGTGAGCTGTCAATGTCAGTCTGGCGGAACGTCAAACGGACGGCCATCTTGTGAGGTATTCTATTGGAGAGCTACACAGAAGTTGCATGTTACGGACGGATCGCCATTATAATTTAAATCTCATTTAATCGTTACTAAGATTGTAGCTAATTGTTAGTTAGTAGATAGTTGTAGATTACTGAGTTAGTAAAGTTGTGTGATACGAGTGTATTTCTGGAATTATCTATCTGGATACCCACGTAATATTTCACTGATGACGGTATAGATATGCCGACATATTCATTAATCTCGCGCGGACGGAGTTGCGAGCGACAACGAGTTGCGTATATATTCCATTCAAAATCCCCTAAATTATAAATAGACATAATTCTATTAGTACATAGAAATATATTCTTTAATTAATCAAGTTAAAAGACAGAATACGTCTCTCTATGTTTAATGAATGATTAATTTCTTCAAGGAATTTCTTTGTGAGAAGAAATAAATCGTTTTTAGCAACTTCGGTTGTCTAGCATCTAAATTCAACTATTTATTATTAATCCAAGATTATCTCTTTTTTTATATCTGCGAATGTTATTCGAGATTGGATATTTATTAGAAATATTAGCATTACAAAGAATTTCCGATTTCGTATCAAATTTATATTTATGAATCGTCTGATATTGCCGTGATTGTATCATTTTATTATGGAATTATTTTGACCAATATTTATCACAGTAATCAAAGAAGATTTTCATCAAGCTTATCACAGTATGTATTCCTCCATACATCTCTCTCAGCCGTCATATCTGAATCCACCACCTTAAGTATAACCCATCCATGCTTCAGTCTTCCCTAACCTTTGTTGTCTTCCTAGGTTGAAGTCTCCTAGGAAATATATATTTGGTGGTCATTCTCGAAAACTATAAAAATTTAGCAATTGTAATATATGTGATTATAATTGTACTTTCTTTAGTTTAGTTTTAATTCAGGTTAATAATTAAAAATAAATTATAAGTTTTGATTTGAATCGTTAGGTTTTTTTCAGAAAAGAATTGCGAACAATTGTACAGTCATCGTCGTTCGCGATGTTCAACTTTAAGTGCGACATACTTTGAATGCCTTGTACACCTTGTGACGGTATTTGTTGTAAGAATTTGGTATGTTACACAATTTTTTATTCTCATTTGATCAACATCGGTAGCAGCCTAATTGATTTATTTATAAGAAGGGGGTAGTTTAAGTTCGTTACGAGAGGTAGGGCAATTTTTCTGTAACACGAACACTGCAAACGAAGGCGACTGTACAAGGTAAACATCATCAAAAGCTTCTTAAATTCCAAACATTTTCGAGGGCAGTTAATTAATTTCATGTTAAGAGGATATTGGTACGGATTCTGTTTGTCGAGAATCCGTCTTTTAACAAGTCTACAGTCTCGTTTTATGGTTTTTAAACGAGTAAACCGGCGTAGGCTTTTGATCTTTCAACGCTTACCGGTTTTATGGTTGATTTAATGTTATCCAAGAGGAAAAGTTTGAGGTTTTTTTATGTTTATTTCAAGAAATCTAAAGCGATATTTCATTTGGGGATATGCTAACGTGTTGTACAGTGGCGTATGTTGGCGGTGTTCGATTACTAAAGCAATCATTTTAACATCTTGTACGACTTTTAAACCAAACTATACTGTTGTGTTACCTACGTATGAGTAAAAAGTCGTAAAATTGTACTATTCCTACGTAAAATACGTCACGGATATGTTTTTTCTGACCGAAGTTTTATAGCGTATCATAAAATGTTACTGCTTTCTAAGCGAATGCTTTTAGTTTGTGCTGAATTACATCTGAGCTTTTGTAATCATTAGTCGATTCCAAGAATCATTGTATCATTGCAGGTTCGTTTGCGGGACTGTGGTGTGTTGCTTTACTTTATGTTTCCATTAAAGAAACATCTACGAGAAAACATTTCATCATCATTCTCAGTTATCTTACTATTACTGAATGGATGGATGTTTGTCAGAAGGTAACTCCAGAACGGCTAAGTGGATCTTGCTGAAATTTGGCACAGATGTAGAACACAGTCTGGAAGAACACATAGGCTACTAATTATGATTTTTTAATCCCGCGCGGACGGAGTAGCGGGCGACAGCTAGTGTTGATATCAAGTATGGAAATGTTATTTTTTTACAATGAACTAGAAGTTACGCGCGTATATTTTTGTGCTGAAAATCCAGTAATAAATTTATAGGCCATGTCAATCAGGGATAGTGTAGTTTTTCAACAGCGAAAGAATTTTTCGGTGTTGAAACAAACAATTAAATTATTCCTCTTTATGATACTAGTATAAATATAATATTAGAGGAAGTTTGAAAGTAGCACCAGTGATCGAGAAATTGAGGAGTAAAAGATTAGCGTGGTTTGGACATGTTATGAGGAGGGATGATGATGATATAAGCAAAAAAGTAATGAGATTGAATGTGGATGGCTACAAGGGTAGAGGAAGACAAAAAAAAGTATGGAATGACTGTGTGAAAGATGATATGTGTAGTAAGGGGGTAGACTCAGATATGACGGCTGATAGAGATGTATGGAGGAGTAGTACATGCTGTGCCGACCCTCGATAGGGATAAGGGCAGGTTGATGATGATACTAGTATAAATAAAGCCCTTAACCACGTGATTTCCAAACATAGACTAACGATATACTAACAATATTATGTATATATGTGGACCGCAAACTTTATCACGTCTGTTAACGATCACTAAATAAACATGTTAACTCGGAAAGCGAACGAGTGCTCGTTGTCATATTATACAAAATAATCTCCCGCTACTCTGTCCGCGTGGGATGTAGAAAAAAATAATTAGTAGCCTATGTGTTCCAGGCTATGTTCAACATCTATGTCAAATTTCAGCGAGATTCATGCAGCTATTCTGTAGATACCTTTATACAAACATTCATCCATCCATTCGCATTTATAATGTTAGTAAGATAGTTATTTTCCGTATAATAGCTGTCGCCCGCGACTCCGTCCGCATGGATATATAAAAAAACTTAATTAGTGTAGCCCACCCATCTATCCACATCACATCCGTCTAAACATTCGCATTTATAATATTAATAAGTTAAATACCAAGCAGCTCTTCAAGGCATAAATTCGAAAAAAAAAACAATAAATAGTATCCTATGTCTGTCTCCTGGCTCTAAGCTACCTCCTCACCAATTTTCAGGCATATCGGTAAAGCCGTTCTTGAGTTATAAATAGTGTAACTAACACAACCTTATTTTATATATTATATATAATAAGGTCGTTCAAACGTATATAGATATATATATATATATATATACGTTGGTTGGAATATATATATATATATATATTCCAACCAAGACTTGATATATCAGAAACTGGGTTACTGGTTGCCTTTTCAATCAATCACAGCTCTGTGAAGAAGATTCCGATACACGCATTAATTTATAGAAAAGAGCGCGAGAAAAAAATAATTAAAATGAGTTCAATATTGATGAGTTCTTTGATTGATTTTAATTGAAGTTGTGATTTTTGTTTGCCAAACATTTGACAAATGTGTTTGCGAATTGAAATACGTTGGGAAATATCTATTTCCATTATTCGGACTTAATGCAATGAAGTTTAATACAATGTTATGTTATTTAATATAATAATAACTGTATTGCTTGCGACTTTGTCCGCGCGGAATTATAAAATAGTAGGTACCCTGTACGTTATTCTAGACAGTAATCTATTCATGTGCCAAATGTTATCCAGATCCATTTAGCGGTTTTGGAGTCACCTGCTAACAAACATCCAGTCCATCCAAACTTTCAGATCTTAATTCTTACCTAATATCTTACTAGTATTATAAATGTGAATGTTTTGATGTATGGATTGGATGTTATGTGAGAAGGCATCTCCAGAATGGCTGCATGATTCTCACCAAAAAGCATAGATGTAGAACATAGTCTAAAGAACACATACTAAAGTTAAATTATTCAAAGCGACGCGAGCGACGGGCCGCGTCCGCGAAATAATACCAGTGCTACTCATCCTGATGAAGGGCCCCCGATGGGCTCGAAACTAGTCGGTGCCGCCACCAAACGAATATACGTGAGTGTTTAGCCGTGTTTATATATCAGTTTACATACTAAAGTTTTTTTTTAAATTCTAGCTAGTTAAACGATAAGGAGCTTTGGTATTAAGTTTCGTACAAATTGAACAAAATGTATTATTTCCATTTCATACGCCTACAAAACAGTATGTATAAGGATTCCTTTGGTGGTATAAATAAACAAAATTAATTCACATAAACAAGCCCAGTCGGATATATTAACATAAACATTTTTATGATGTTATTACAAGTCAGGATCTGCGAAATAAAACCAACTGGCTAACAAACATTTGAAGCAAAACTGTTTGAATAAATATTTAAAAAGAAATTTTAACTACTTCACGGAAATTCTTTACTCATCGAATTTATTTCATGGAAAAAATAATTTAACACGTTAAACATTTTTGATGATAATTTAATGTAAATGTTATGAAAGAAACTATTTATAATATAAATAAATATTATTAACGTCGGCACATTATCGTACAACATCGTATATAGCACCGTTGCATATTTATTTTATTATTTACAAACTGTTTTGTCGTCGATTCCGTCCGTGCGGAATTAAAAAAATACTAAATGAATGAACCTATGCAATCTTCCAGACTATGTTCTGCGTCTGTGTTAAATTTCATCGAGTTCCGTTGAGCTTTTCTGGAGATACCTTCAAACAAACATCCATTCATCCAAATATTCGCATTTATATTAGTAAGATTAGTAAGATACATACATACATACTTCAAGAGCGTCGGTGGCTCAGGAGTGAAGCAATTGACTTGCAATCTGCAGGTCCTGGGTTCGAATCCCGCCATGTACCAATGTGTCTTTCGATTTCCGATTTGCATATGTATATTTATCCGACATTCTTACGGGAAGGAAAACATTGTGATGCAACCTGCACATATCTGAGAAGAAATTCAAAGATATGTGTGAAGTCAACCAACCCGCACTTGGCCAGCGTGATTGACTATGGCCTAGTCACCCCTAACTTAAGGTAGGCTCCGAGCCCTTCGGTGGGGAAGTATAGTGAGCTGATGATATTATTAATTTCGGCCTGGTTAGAAACAAAGTGCATTTGCTTCGAAGCCATCCATAACGAACTTCAAAAATGTATAGAACTGACATTAACTTTTTATAAATCACGTGATTGTCGCGCGACAGTTCCATGCATTTTTGAAATTCGTTATGGATTCGCTTCGAAGCGAATGCATTTTATTTAGTCCTGCAGATATCTTAGTTTGTTTATAGGTGTATCCGCGTGTTTCGGTAGTGGAAACGCCCTTTACCAATACGTGTTGCTATGTAACATGCTTAAAAATGTATCTTAAACATCTTTCTGTTAAGGTCAACGACCCTATTTAATGTGACATTATTAACCGTATGGATAATTTTGGCACTCTACTCTATAGTCTATATCTCTATGGTATATCTCTATAATTTATGGCCACGTTGTAATCTCGATGCAATTTTAGTATCGTGCGTCATAACCACTTACCAGACGATATCAGTTGGATATCACTAATGTTTGGTCCTAACTCTTATCAGTGTTCAAACAAAGATCCAAATTTTTCGATTATGTTGTAGAGTTAATTAATTTTGGCATTCGCTACTGAATTTAATATCCTTGATAAATACAATAGCAATAGTTTTTTTGAAACAATAAAACTTATCTCTATGACATTCTGGAGTTGACATGACACAATATCTGTTAAGCCATTAAGTCTACAGGAGGTCCCAATAGTACATATATCTTACTAATATTATAAAATCGAATGTTTGTTAGAATGTATGTCCAGAACGGCTGCAAGGATCTCACTAAAATTTGGCATATATGTAGAAGATAGTCTGGGAGAACACATAGGACGGAGACGCGGGCGACAGCTAGTATTAATTAACTAGCTATGGAATAGCAATCGCCCGCGACTCCGTCCGCGCGGAATTTCAAAACTTAATTCGCTTTAAATCGCCTTTGTGCTCTTCTAGACTACGTTCTGTGTGTAAGTCAAATTTAATCAAGATCCATACAGCTGTTCTGAAGATACCTTCTAACAAACATCCATCCATACATCCAAACATTGACATTTATTATAATAATAACTACTTTACAATATCGGTTGCTACGGCAATGCACGTTGCAAGAAAAATTAAGTGAGTGAAAAAAATCATTATTGTACGACATGCTTTAAAAAATATTTTACATTAACGGAAAAAACAAAGACCCCCAAAATAAACATTCCAGACCTCCTGTCAATCTGTCACTTTCAGTTTCCGGAATCATGAAATATGTGAAAAATTTTCCTTGTTTAGTTTTTTTTTTGAGCGAATTTGTTTCGCTTGAATTAAGCCAGTAAGCAATTTAATTATCACTTCGTAATATTAGAAAATAAACGAAAAAGTATATTGTAATAACTTAAAAGTAAATGTTTATCTTCTAAATTATAATATATTTTTAGACTTCTAAAAGAAGACTACCAATTTTGTTTTTAAACGACAAAATCGGTAAGACATTTTTTTTGTTTGGTTGTTTTAGATGTATTAAGTTGGGACATTATTTGCATGTACATTTTTATATTATAAGGTGCCAAACGAGCGAGCGGCCACCTGAGATCGCTGAAATAGCGAAGTGACCGTTGCCCATTGACATACGCAATTACATATGCGCTGCCTAACTTTAGTCGACGGAGAAGAGCATGCACGGAAAGAAAATATCTTCCCTTTCCATGCATCCTCTAATCCGGAAAGTCCACTTCCACTTCCCATCAGTTCCTTATAACAATAAGGGTGTGAAGGGAAAGAAGACTAAATTAGGCCTCCGAGAGGCACACTCATCAGACGAAACGCGGAATTGCTTCCACTTGACGCCTGTCTTCTGTGTGGTCGTGGTATTTCACCGGGCGAGCCGGGCCAATTCGTGCGAAGATTTTAAAGCGGGCTCTACCACTGTAAATATAATAGTCCAAGAGCATGCGCAACAAAATTATGATCCATATTTCAAGTAGCTGTGTAAAATACACGTTACATTAATAGGATTAATCGAAGTATGTTTACATTCACAATATACAGTGCTCGTTAATGCCAGGCCCTGTGTAAACATTCTAAAGCGCACGATCTTATAATTCACTTAATACGTCACTCCAGTATATTGACATTTTGTATCTTCTCAATAGATTTTAGGATGTTTACTTTAAAAGGTCGTGAACTCACAAAATATGTAAAGTAGAAAAATGAAATATAATGTTATAGAAGAGAAGAAAACAGACATAAGTTTGACTATATCTATACAGATTGTATAATTTGAATTTGTCTGTTTAATTATGTTTTTATGAGAAAAAATTGTATATAATATTTTTGTTACATACTGTATATGGATACACAAAGTATAATGTACTAAAATATTATATCTTTATATATATAATTCTTCTGTGAGTGTGTATGTCACTGAACTTCTCTCAAACGACTGGACCGATTTTGATGAAATTTTTTGAGTGTGTTCAATGGGATCTGGGAATGGTTTAGATTCACAATTTTCATCAAATATTAACTTCATATTAATTTATTCAAATTAAAGACGTGTAGATAGGACAACGTCTGTCGGGTCCGCTAGTATAATATATTGTTAAACTGCTGCTATATTGCTTTATAATAAAATAAACGATTTGCGTTCTCTATATATTTGTATTTGTGAACACGCTATATATGTAATATACTCACCAAGTCCTTGCGACGGGTGCGTGGCAGACGTAGATGTATCTCTGCACGGCCAATGCGAGCGTCAGCCAGATGCTGGCAGTGTGGAACATCGCCGGTATCACCTACACAAAATGTAATGAAACCTTAAACTAGATAAATTCAACTTTAGCCATCTTGTCACTAATAGAGGTAGTGCCTTGAAGGAATAAACTAACAAATTTTACGCTTTTACTAAATCATGTATAAGTTTAACGAACATAGGATCTTAGACCATAAAGCAATAAATTCCTTTTTAATTTCAACCGTGTTCCATTTTCAAAAAATGAAATCGACATTTAATTTCTTCAAAGTTCGCATTTTCGAGAATTGTAAAATCGATTCGATAGTAAGTGAACAAGTCTACTCGAATGCCATTTATTTCCTCCGCGTTTCGCAGACAACGTGTTTCCACGAAGGAAATTGTGCAGTTTGAAAACGCTTCGCTGACGTGAGCGGGAACCGAGCACGTAAAGGAGGCCAGTGTTTGTGCTAACAAACTCCCTTTGACACGGAATATTCGAAATTCAAATCGATTAGACTGAACATTGGCCACTGCACATGTAATATTATTTTTTGTTTCGTCTGACAGTAGGTAAGGTTTATCTTTTCAGTTGTTATCTGTTTAGTACAGTCAGCTGCATAAATATGTATACATTTAGAAAACCTTAGAACTTCTATAAAACTTCGGTTTAAAAAATTAAGTAGAATAAATATTTAAGAATGCAAAACCGACGTGTTTACGTAGATGTATAAATGTAGAACAGGCAAGAGAAATGTGGGCAGGACTGCGCCAACCGGAGGTCTGTGGTTTCTGTCTACTCCTCTGTGTTACGGGCGTGAGTTATGTTGTTGTTGTATTGGTTGATAACATGAATTGTGTTGGAACCGAACGAACGAACACCTGTATGCGCATTTTTTTAAACAGAAAAGGTATATAAAATTAATATTATTGTATTTACAAAGCTTAAGAAATTTGTTAACATATTTATGCAGCTGACTGTACATTTAAAAGTTAACTATGAAAAATCAAATGTATTTATAAGTCACTATCTTTATTTAATTTTTAAAAACATAGAATTTAAAATTCCTAAACATTCTTTAATCAAATCTTATCTTTACGTACTGTAAAACTTTATCTTTAGGTATTCTTCAAAAGTAATTAAGGTAGATAAAAGTTGGAAAACTATTCGACGATAAGAAAAAGTTAAATTACTGTGAAGGGAACTAGAAAAACTTTTAGTTGTCACTCTAATGGTTTCTTTTAGTATATTTACTATAAAAACATACAGTTAATAAATTATTTAAAATAAATAATCACTATTAAATTACACTTAACGTCAACTAAGTACAGTTTTTACAATCCTTCTTCACGGGAAACCACTGCACTATTTTTCCCTAGTAGCTAACTTTATGGAAGAGTCAAAAATAACAATGGGCCCGAGTTCCCGGCGTCTCTTCAATGAGACAGGGGTGCGAAGAATCCCCGGGCGGAAAGTAGTTAGGTTAGGAACATGGAATGCACGTAGCTTACAGTCCTACTTAATTGTAAATCGTTAAAGTTAGAGTTTTTTGCAATTTTTAAAGTGTAGTAATTATTTTGAACGTTGAGTGTACGCCATAAACATTCAACTTTAGACTGTAATGTAAATCATCATTCTGTTCTAAATGTTTTAAATTGTATTTCGTGTAATAATTAATAGTCTTATGACATAAGAGGATAGAGGAGAATTGGGCATTTTATTCCGAATTCAAATACAGATTTTTTTTAATCATTATTTGATATGGACTATTTTTCCTGCCAGTCCTAGTAGAGTAATAAAAGATAATAAATCAGCCAGCTATATATCAAAAGGTTAACTCGAATATAGGAATTAAAAATAACTAGGGCAGTTACTCGGGCGTATACAGCTAGTCCAAACATGGCTCAATAAAACGTTATTGCGTTACCCAGTGTCCTGTGCTGAAGTACACCATCAAACACAGTGTAGAGATAAACTCGGTCATGTGGAATTATGTTAACTAAAACTACGATGATGTTATATTTAATGAATGTTCTTTATTCAAAAAAATCTTTTTTTCGATTTATTCTTTTTTTATTTAAAAAAAGTGTAGTTTAAACTTTTCTTTTCAATCATGCCAGTTTTAAATAAAGGTGCGAATACACATGCCTGTTAATTGGAACAGTAGCTGGCGTGTGACAAGCCTGTTTATAATGCAATGTCAATATTTGCAAATTATTCCCATGCCTCTTACATCCAAGAACCAGAAGAAAAAGAAGAGATAAAAACCATCGAAATTAGTTTTCGTAGACCCCCTCGTCCCCTCCATCAACTTAAGCCCGTAACAGTCACAAAATTAACTGTCGCGCTAACTACTTGCATGCCAGTTAACCTGTAACTGGCACGTACAAGTAGCTTGCCTAATTAAGTCTTCTTTCATTTCCCACCCTTTTCTTATAAAGGAGAGTATAAGAACAGGATGGAGATTTGTCTGAGCAGGGGAAGCATAATAAGAAGAAATATTCCCTTTCTGTGCGTCCCGTCCTCCGTCGATTGGCAGACAACGCATTTGCAGATGATGTCTATGCGCTGCTGCTTAGTAATTTGATCCCTTGTTAGTTTGCCATCTTATATAAAAAAGCAAACTACCGGAATGTGTATTCGTAGCTTAATGATACTAAATATGTTATACTATAAAACTAACCTCGTTCATATAATTCCATGCTTGACACGCCTGTATTGGACTTAGCGGCTTGTAGTGATTACCAAATGTATACATATAGAACAGCCATGGTGCTGGGAACAACATAGTAAACATATCACATAGTGCCATTGCCATAAGCACTACATTTGTAGGTGTTCTCATATGACGACGAGATAATACGACGACAATCAAAGTGTTAGCAACCGTTGTTGTGGCTAGGAGAAATGGTGCGATGTATCTGTAAAGAAAATATTTCTGTTAGCTCTTAATTAAAAGCTTTTAAAGAAGCAACGATAACTTTTCATAACTCCAATTTTGATATTATTATAAATATACAGGATGTCACAAAAGACAATGTCGATCCGGGATCGGTTGATAGCGCAATAATAGCTGTCGCCCGCGACTCTGTCTGTGCAGAATTAAAAAAAACTTAGTAGCCTAAGTGTTCTTCCAGACTATGTTCTACATCTGTGTCAAAATTCAACGAGATCCATGCAGCCGATTTGAAGATACCTTCTAACAAACATTCATCATCTAAACATTCGTATTAATAAGCATTGTATTTTGTATGTTTTTCGATAGTTTTAAATTAAATTAATGTCTACTTACCCATACATCGGTTCCGCGTAGTTGATTGGGAACTCACACGTGACGTTTAGGTACACATGGGAATGATTCGACGAGCAATAATCATCCGTTGTAAAATTGGAATATTCTAGAAAGCCAGTATCATTATCGTTTAAACTGTAATTCGAATGTGGAATCACTCCGTTTATATCATTTATTTTGTCTATGGTCTTTATGTTGGTTAGATTCTGTGATGCTGATGCTATGTAATCGATCCAATCTTTTTCGTCCGCCATTTTGTTTGTAATTAGCTATCTCTTGATTGACATGTTTCTTGGTTTAGAAGTTTCGGGTCCAGTTTACATTATTTCTTTTATCTGTGGAAGAAAAAGAAATTGTTTAGATTTCTGTTAGGTTTGAAAAAAGTTTATACAAGTACTAATACAATGGAACCTCACAGTTATAGAGTCGAACTGGATAAGTGAGAAACCTCTATAAGCGAGAGTCCGTTCTCGGTAGATAACCGCCATAAGCGAGATTTCCTTTTATTGAACAAACGAAATCTACAAACTCTTGGTCAGTACTCTTTTTTGCACATATTCCTGTTAAATTACAATAGTTTTTTTTAATTTTTTTAGTTTAGTAATTTGAGTTAGACAAAAACCTTTATAAAAGACTAGCTATCGCCCGCGATTCCGTCCGCGCGGAATTAGAAAATAAACTGATTAGTCGCAGTAATGTTATATAGCCTAAAGCTTTCCTCTATAAATGGACTATTCAACAAAAAAAGAATTTCTCAAATCGGAACAGTAATACCTGAGATATCGCGTTTAAACAAACAAACAAACTCTTCCGCATTATAATATTAGTATAGAAAAAAATATCGCGGTCTTTTAGACTCTCGCTTATACAAGTTTGACTGAAAAGTTTTTAGACATTATTCAAACACAATTATAATGCAATAAAATATCCTATTCTGTGGTCGATTTGCATTATTTTATACGTGTGTGTAATCGAAAATCTTTTGCACATAAAATACGGTTACCCGGACACAGGTTGCGCGGGCGATAGGGGCGTCACATGTCGTTGCGGCTTTGCTCTAAGCTGCTAGTGATGGATAGAGCTAGCTTTTACCTTATGCGGTATACAGATAAAGGTATTCGTTTTTAAATATAACGAATGATTAAAAAAAGATTAGGCAATAATGTAGTTTTTTTGCTTATCTACAAATAAGAAATCTTGCCACAATAAGGGTTTATTTCGCGCTGTAAAGCTTTTATTTTTTGACCCACATATATTTAATAAAAATTATTTACTTATTAAATATCAAATAAATTCCAGCTTGATACCTTTACGCATTTTTGAGAAAAAGGGTCTTGACAAACGGACGGACAACAAAGTGATCCTATAAGGATTCCGTTTTTCCTATGAGGTACGGAACCCTAAAAACACTATAACACTCAGGGGAAGCATACGAATCGAACATCTAATTAACTAACTAAACTAAACATAATAATGCCTTAAAAATGTAAGAAAATATTATATGTCACAATTGTCTTGCTGTGAGTTTCTGAGCCCAAAATCTTAGCTTAAAACTTAAAACTATTGTTATCTCTGTTTTCTCAAAGATAATAACAAGGATATCGATATGTTTTATACAAAGATTTAGATATTAGGAACCCACGGTAAGTAGCCCATAGACAAACGTGTGATTTTTTTGTGGAACGACATGTTAAGTTTTTTTTTGCAAAAAATAATAAATAGATTTCAAGAAAAATCGTCAAAATCGGTTCAGTTGTTTAGGCTTATAAATAACATACAAAACGACACATATTAGTCCGAATAACATAGCACTCCTGAGTCAATCAAGAAATTAAAAAAGAACATTTTAAATTAATGCCTCTGAGAATAGAGATATAAAGGATGTTTAAAAACGTAAATTAGGAGAATGTACGTTGTTTTTTTCCAAGGTTTATGTTCTTTACCAGGAAAATATTCTATAGAACTGATCCATTTACATCAAGATTGCTCGCTTAGCCGCTTTTCATAGTAAAGACTCGGGGAAATTTCCGCTTTGTGATTGAAGAGTTTCGTTTGTAGGATTTTGTTCGTTTTTTGTAAAAATTGATTTTAAGTTTTATGTGTATGATTAAAAATTATTAAAGCACATTTTGAATATATAATTATTCATTCTCTTTCTTACTATATCATAGTAATATTTTATTATAAATGTGAATGTTTGGATGGATGGATGTTTGTTTGAAGGTATCTCCAGAACGGTTCAATGGATTTCGATGAAATTTGGTTGGTATACATATAGAACATAATCTGGAAGAAGACAATAGACTACTATTTTTTTTATTCCGCACGGACGGAGTCGCAGGCGACAGCTAATATTATTATAAATAAAATTATTCTATGATCTACTTAAAATGATTTTATGTTTTAAATAAAAAGCTAAGTTTCTCCAAAAGGAATTTTAATTAAGAATCTTTACATGAATAAAATTATATTATTAGCACTTTTTTCTACGTAACGTTAAATTTGGCAAAGCTAAAATATATTTTAGCTTTCATGTTTATTTTTAAAAGCAATTTAAAATTAATAACAAAGAGAAAGTTCAAAGCAATTGACAACAAAAAAAATAGTCGAAATATTCCGTTATCCAATTCGCTTTGAGAATTTTTTCAAATGGAAAAAAAAATACGATCGTAAAAAAGGAATCGCTTAAAACGCTTTATTAATGTCACTGGAAAGATTGTAACCGTAAGCCTTCACTGCTATAACGTTCGTATTAAAGTATAAGTTCCTCTCTTTCATACTCTCTAATAAAAACGAGATAGTAATCAATTTCCTTACAGGTATTTCGACGAGTGGAAACTTACCTTAAAATGGGAAACACTTGAAAAAATATCATTGCTTTTGTTTTCAATTTGTATTCTTCAAAGGTTTACGGCAAATAAATATTAAATTACAGGAACTAATCAAAGGGAATTTAAATTATTGTTTCAAACGAATATAAATTGGTTTAATGTACTGTAATAAAGAAAAAGGGAAGTTAATGAAATTCGAAATAAAATAATTCAAACTTTTCTTTCAAACTGTAAGGGCCTCCGACAGACTCGAAATTAGGCGTTGCCTGACACCGGACAGACATACGTGAATGTTTGAGCCGGTTTATGTTATTTTTTCCAAGTAAAATTATTAATATTTTTCTCGCAAACAGAGATTTGTATTATTGTAAAATGTTTAACTTCGCATACCATTTTTTAGTTGAAATGTTACATTTTTGATTTATTAAATTGTCTTCGAATCGAATTACAACTCACGATCACAAGATCGGTATTCTGTACCCTTAACCATAAGGCTATTGATGCTTCAATTTACTGTATTAGTTGTACGTGTTAGTCCGCTCGAAATTAAAAAAAAAACATAATAGCCTATGTGTTCTTCCAGACTATATTCTATATCTGTGCCAAATTTCATCAAGATCCGTTGAGTCGTTCCGGAGATACCTTGTGTTAGGAAGAAAATCCAGAAATGAGTCAGTGTATTGACTCAACACTAGCCTTACTAAAATGACAAGGTTTGTGTTCCCCTCATATTCATTCTGACTCTAGACTTTGCAATGAAAGCACGTCATTCACGCCAAATGATTGTAATTAATAATGTCTAAAACTTGTAACAAACTTTCGCATTTATAATATTAGTAAGATTAGAAAGTGGTACGTTAAATCAGTTGGTCTGTTTATTAAATGTAACGAGTATTTATCAAATAAAATGCCAAAATTCGTTGAATTCAAGTAATCACAGTAATCATTATGTTTGATAGACTTTTTAATTAATCCCAGTTTATCCATTACCTCAGAACCCTTTGTAAATCCAGCAATATAAATTGAATTTGAAATATTCGTTCTACACAAATGTATTAAACACATATGTGCAGAAACAAATTCAAAGGAACGCTGCCAGTATCTTCAGAACCTTGCCTAAAGGAACTCCTTTTAAAATATTATATTATACATTTTAGTCAATGTTTCGTTTATAATTCTTTATTTATAATTGAAACAAATTAACTCACATAAATATAACACATTTAGAGACTACATTTACAACTAGCTGCCGCCCGCGACTCCATCCGAACGGAATTATTGAAAAACTTAATTAGTAATTTATGTTTTCTTCCAGACTATGTTCTACATCTATGCCAAATTTCATCAAGATCCTTTGAGTCGTTCCAAAGATACCTTCTGATAAACATAAATCCATTAAAACGTTCGCATTTATAATATTAACAAGATTTTTCGAACCTTATTTTACAATATCCCTTGGTCCAAAATATTTATGTCCGCGAGGAGAAAAGTGTATAGAAAATTGACGTTGGGATTATTTTAAAAAACTGCATTTAATTTATAATATCATTAGTTCGTTAGATGTATAGACATAGGTCATAGTCATAGACAAGAGTGTCGGTGGCTTAGGTGTCAAGCACTTGATTTGCAATCTGCAGGTCCTGGGTTCGAATCCCGCTATGTAACAATGTGTTTTTCGATTTTCGATTTAAATATGTACATATATCTAATGTTCTTACGGTGAAGTAACACATCGTGATGCAACCTGCACATATCTGGGAAGAAATTCAAAGATATGTGTGAAATCAACCAACCCGCACTTGACCAGCGTGGTTGACTTGCCTAGTCACCCCTAACTTAGGGTAGGCTCCGAGTCCCTCAGTGGGGACGTATAGTGACCTGATGAATAGACGTAGGTAAAAAGTGTTGCTAAATTAAAAATTGTAGCAACCTCATGACACGGTTTGTTATATTTTTGGTTAGGATTTCTTTGATATATTTTCGATGATACGTAAGTTCCTTTGGTTATAAAAATATAAGCCGTTTGTTTTGTACTATTTCGCTTTCATGTTAAAATCTCCAAGGATATATTTTAGTAAAAGCAATCCTGTTATTTTCTTCACAAAACTTCGGTTTCAAGGGAATGATAACAAACTTTGCGCTAGCAATATGGATACGTAAAAGCTTTCTTAAAATAAAATGTGTTGATGAAAAATGTTTTAAGATCCACAGTCTACTAAAAACTTTGTTTGAATGTATTTTGTACTAAATATATAACTCTTTTGGGTCATTTTGTTTGACGAAATAAAGATTTTTCTTTATTTTATAACCTAAAACGTTGTAAAGAACTATAGAATAGTTGTTTATCACACATCATCCCTTAAAATAAACTAATCTAAACCACGAATTTGATAATTTCATTTGACTTTGCTTTTGCTTTGATAGAAACATTGGCGATTGCTGCCTTCAACTAATCAGCATCATCAGCTTGCTATACATCTCCACTGAGGGGCTCGGAGCCTACC